ATTTCACACAAATCTAACGAAAACAGATCGACTACGCCTGGCATCACTGATACCTACTAATCAGTATGCTTTTACATTGTCGCACGCAGATTTTCATATGATGATTTGCGTAATTTTTCTACATTTTTGGGGAATTTTAGGATTCCCCCAAAGAAAATTTGCTAACTCCCGCTCTTCGAAAAGTTTTGGGCGTAGATCATACACTTCCGTCCTTCAAAAAGCGTTTGAAGCATGTACACTTTCACAAAAAATGGTCTCTTGCTGCTGATCGCCCTCCTCCTAAGGAACATTTTTACGGACGCCCATCTAACTACCAATATTACTAGGTTTACCGATTTTAGTCCTATTCTGGCGAACTACCATTTTTTATGCAAAATTTACAGAAAATTATTTCAAATTCTATAGTACATTTCTAATATATTTAAACGAAACAAGAATACAGCCACTTGATGGTGGAATTTGGTGCAACACTCCGCTCTTCAATTTTTCAAATAGCAGCTCCTGCATGTGATGTTACCACCCTACACCCTGCTCTTCAGTTTTCAAAACCGAATGGAGCTCAAGCACCGGCCAGTTTTTGCTTTTTCATTTTTCATCTACCCAAAAACTTCACGATCTACCGAAAAATTTACCACCAAAAACATATCGATTATACTTGGCAAGACTATCACCTCCTAATGAAGATGCTTTTACAATGGCGCGCATATGATGATGTACACGATTTTGTGAAAGATTTTGGAGAATTTAAGGATTTACTTACCCCCTCCCGTCTGAAAAAACTTACTTCCCCCCGCTCCTCAAGAATCTCCAGGGGCAGGTACACCTTTACAGGAATTCGTCCAGGAGAATTCGGATTTGTAGAAATTTTTCTTTGCTTACTCCGCGCTTCAAAAAGTTACACTTTTACAAAATGTTGTCTCTTGCCGATGATCGCCTCTTGCCCCCTGAAAAAAATTACTACGGGCGCCCATGTGACTACGCCTATGGCAGCGATTCTAATGCTACTTATTATGCGGCGCAAGTCACGTTTACAACGTCATCGCGGGATCTCGCGAACAAACCGGCTGGGTATGCTCGCTCTTGTCTCGTCTCGTGTGTGTTCAGTGTTTTAACGACGACAAACAACCAGTAGGAATTCTTCGGGTTTTAATTATCTGCTTTGTTCAAGTATCAAGAACATTCTACAGCAGAGACAGTTCAACTCTTATTCAATTATATCCTTGCTCTGAATTATTGTTATTTCGTACTCTCAAAGCGTCAATAGGGAATATGCATGTTTTTTTTTAATTTTCTGTCGATTATTTACAGGGACTTCCCACAAGCATCGTCACGTAAACGTATCGTTTTGTCAGATCTCAGTTGAAATCATGGCGTCAACGGTACCAGATGTTTCTGGTGTACGCATTGATGATCTTACATTTTCCTCAGACGAAGAATATTTTCCATATCCATATATCGTAAATAAAAATAATAATAATAATATTTATTCACTCAATGTATACGTACAAAGATAACAAACAATATGAGTAAATAAATATAAAATCAAAACAGACCCAATAGAAGGCATCGCCTGTACATGGACCAATAAATTTAAGTTGAAACTGTAGAATGCAAATGACAAAAAAGGACAAAAATTAGCTACAGTATATTATGTATTTAGTTAATGTTCGTATTTATGAGTTTATGAATTTCAGTCCTAGATATAGAATGTAGCCACTTTTTTAAATTTCTTTTGAAACAATTTCCGAAACGTAAATCTTTTAAGTCTTTAGGTATAATTTCATAAAATTTAGGCGCTAAATAGAGATATGATCGCTGCATTATAGATTTATGCGGTTGAGGAACTACTGTGCCACGAATTTTGTACCTGGTATAATGATTATGTTTAATTTTTTGGTCGGTGTTTACAAATTTATGGTAGTGAGTGATACTGTGTAAGAAATAAAGCTGCCTTATATCATACATTCGGACATCTGCGTATAATTTTTCAGTGGGATAAAGTTTCGGTTTTTTAAATATCATTTTTAGAATACTTTTTTGAAAAACATCTAAATTATAGATATGTGAGGAACATGCAGCTCCCCATGCTAATATACCATATGTGAGATGAGGCTCAATCAGTGCATGGTATAATGTTCGAAGATATTTTTCTGTCAATATATTCCCAAGGTATTTAATTTTGTAGGATACAAATCTAACTTTCTTCAAAATATAATTGACATGGATGTCCCATCGTAAGTGAGGATCCAAGACCACTCCAAGGTATTTTATGTTGGGCACTCTATTAATTTGCATTTTTTGATCATTAATATTGAAGGAGAAATTTGTGTAATTTGGCAGATGTCTAGCATAAGATCCAAATGGTGAAAAATGTGTTTTAGAGTAGTTAATGTTTAATTTTCTACTGTTAAACCACCGAATAATTTTGATAAAATCATTTTCAATTACATTTTTCAGATCAGACCAGTCAGTGCCTTCATATAATATTGCAGTATCATCTGCAAAACTAGTTATTTTTCCAACACAATTAATTTGGAAAATATAATTTAAATATATATTGAATAACAGCGGACCTAAGACAGTTCCTTGTGGGACACCACACTTAATATACATTTCTTTACTAAATGATCCTGATATCTGCACAGATTGTGGGCGATTTGACAAATAACTTTCGATCAGTGAGTACGCATTTCCTCTGAAACCAATTCTCTCCAATGCTTCTAATAATAATTTGTGATTAACTGTATCGAAAGCTTTCTTTAAATCAACAAAAATGCAGATTGAAGGGATTCTGTTATCAATATTTTGATGTATTTGATTTACAATTTTAGTTATTGCGTCCGATGTAGCCTTCCCTTCTGTAAATCCATATTGATTTTCACTTAAAATTTTGAATTTTGTGAGGTATCGAATCATTCTAGTAGATAAAACTTTTTCAAAAACCTTTGCTACACTGGATATTATTGATATTGGTCTATAGTTGTTAACATCTGTTTTTGTTCCTGATTTATGTATCGGTATTATATTACCTTTTTTTAAAATTGAGGGATATATGCCAGATTCAAAGCATTTGTTGATTAGGTAAGTGAGTGGTTCTGTTATGTCCTCGGCTATAATTTTCAAATGCTCGCTTTTAATACCATCGAACCCACGACTTTTCCGATTTTTTGAGGACATAACAGTGGTGTATACTTCAAATTGCTCGACTTTATCCAAAATAAATGAGTTCAAAGTTCTTTTTGGAGGCTGAGTATTTTGTACATTTGCTTGTATATTACTTGCTAAATTTTCGCCTATGTCAGTAATGAATTGTACAAATTCATCGCATATCTGTTGAGTATTTTTTAATACTGTTCCCGATGTTGTATTTAACTCAGTGACACACTCTTTAACTTTTGTTTTCCCAGTAATTTCATTAATAGTTGTCCAAAGCCGCTTAGGATCATTTAAGTTATTATTCAATTTATTTAGGTAATGTTTTCGTTTGGTTTGTCTCACAAGCTCTATAAATTTATTTTTATATTGGTTGTAGCAGTCGGTATTCTCTGTAGTTGGCGTTAGTTTCATTACATTATATAGTCTTTCTTTTTCTATTGCCGATGTTATTAATCCTTTGGTAATCCAAGCATTTCTGCTTTTTTATTTGTGACTAATTATTACTTTATTGGTACTAATATCTATTAGTTTTTTTATTTTCTCTTTGAAAAGTCTCGTTGCTTTGTCTATATTATTTATAGAGTATAATTGTTCCCAGGATTCTTGTTTGACATTTGATATTAGTTTTGAATTGTCGACAAAAAATTTGTAATTTTCCTGGTTGTTACTAACGGTAGGGATGTTAGAATGTTTTTCATTTGAAGATATCACTAAAATAGTGGAGAAGTGGTCAGTAATATCGCATTCTAGGATTATTGGTATACAAGTAATTTTGTTGGATAGGTCTTTCACAAAGCAGTGATCTATACATGTGCCACTGATGGACCTTGTAGGTAGGTTTATATAGGACAGAAATCCGTTACTTGATAGGATGTTCAAGTATTCATTTGTGATGGGATCATCGTCCAAAATATATATATTCACATCTCCCAAGAAAATATGTTGCTTTCAATGAACTTTATTTTGATTTTGAAAAAAAAATCGATATTCTTTAAAAACTCGTGGGGTTCTGAACATGGCGGACGATAAATTGCAGATACCTCAATTTTGTTATGGTTAATTTGGATCATTATGTTTAAAATTTTGATTCCATCGGTGAAAGTGAACGTATCATGATTATATTGCAGTTTATTTCTTACAAAAACTATCACCCCATCGTTTTGGTTATAAGTGCCAAAGTTATACAGCGTGTCATATCCCTGCTGATCGAAGCAAGAAATATCAGCCACTTGCCACGTTTCAGTTAAAACTATTAGACCAAAATTGTACCATATTTGGTCGAGTAGTATTTTTAAGTAATCAATGTTGTGTTTTATACTCCTTATGTTCATATTAAAAATTCGAAATTTTGCATCAGAATTTTGTGTACATAAATTAAGTTCATCGACGTTTTGTGCTATATTTGTTGCAATACTTGGAATTTGGAAATCATTAATGTATTTATTTACTGACATTTTTAGGTCCTCTTTAGAGATAGGAGTAGTAAAAGATGAACTTGAATTTTAAAAAAGTATCCTTAAGTTTTGTTGTTCCTGATAATATTTGTACGATGGACAGTTTTTGTCGGTAGGTGAGTGGTTAATATTATAATTTTTTTTATATCTTTCATTTCCATATCTACAGTTGTAGATTGTATCCATCCATATATCGTAAATAATAAGAGGAAAAGATTGTTTGTTGCTGCACGCGAACTTTCAGAAGACGATAATAAATTCTGAAGTTTTTATCGAATGAGGAAGGAGACATTTAGAATTCTTCTAAACATTTTAGGACCACACCTGTTGAAAAAAGATACAAAAATGCGAGAGGCTGTACCTGCAGAAGAAAGAATCATGATAACTTTACGGTAAGTAATTTATTTATTCTTAATTATTCATGTTGTGCACATATGCATCTAAAGTTTAAAAATTAGAAGTTATTTATTATATTCATCAGAACATTGCTTGATGGACATTCATCTCTCTACTAGTGCTACCATAACGAGGTGAGCCCACTAATTGCTCACCCTACTGATTAGGACTCATAGCTGAAGAGACTGGAGAGTTTGGTTGTTGATTAGGCTGCTGGTAAATGTCTGAGCTACTTCGGGCTTGAACTTGAGCATATGTGGCAGTTGCAGGTGATTGTTGATTACGCTCAGCTATGTGATATTTCTGGATGAGCGACATCATTTCAATTTTCAGCAATCTCATATTATCATTACTCAAGTTCTCGATGTCTGGAAGTAAACTCAACAAAAACATTCTGCGAGGGTTATCTGTGTTAGCCCTTTGCATAGATTTCTCCATATGTTTCTTTTTCGCTGCCATATACTGCACAAAAGTACTGTTGACAGCATTATTGTAATGTCTGGCTTTCTTTTTAGGCGGCTGTGTTGCATTTAAACGTTCTTCGTTTGTTGGTGAATGTTGAGTTTCCACGTCGTTTATTAGCATACTCCGAGTATCCACTTCGTTAGGGCTATTGGCAGTAGATTGAGAACTATAGCATGAAGGAATATTTCCAGGTTCTTTCTCATTGTTGGTTGGTTTAACGAATGGAATCACAAATTGCATCTCATCGTGTAAGTAATACGGCTTCCTGGATTTCGCTGCTGAGCCACTAGGGAGCATTTTCAGACTTTTAACGAAGCCGTTTCTCACATTGCGCCACTTTTCCTTGCATTCTGCAACTAAAAAAAAGTATAATTGAGTGGTAGGCTAGGTGGGATAGAAGAAACATACAGAAGACAGTGCTTTGTATTGCGAAAACTTTACACCGAATCAGTCGTTTAAGTATAATAAGGTACCTGTACCAAATAAGGCCAAGCTCCTTATAAGGCCATGCGTCGATTTTACGGACACTAGTTACATCTGGAATTAAATATTTCTACAGTTCTATACATTCATTGAGATGAGTTAGCACCCATAAATGTAGCAGGTGTGGAGCGGCGCTAGATGGCGCAGTTGGCCAGTGTCGATTTTCAACACGTGCCTTACAAAATTACTACTTTAAATTTGTCTTCGATTTTTCATATTGTCTGCTTCTTTTTGCGAAATCTGTTGTCAGTTCAATCAGGTAAGTCTATAGAACATATACAGCTAGTTATTTGTCGTCGCCAGGTTTTAAATATTTTGTATTTTATAAATTGTATGTTTAAGGTTATATGTGCCTAATAAGGCCATGATAAACGGTTCCCATTACGGCCACTTGGCCTTATTAGGAACACGCTGGCCATTACGGCAGATGTCTTAAATTAAGATGTTTTTTTTTCAGAGACTATAGTCGAAATATGCCCTCTAAGAAAAGGGCGCTGTGGTCAACCGAAGCGCTTGTACAAGCACTGCATAGTATAAACAGTGGAACGTCGGTAAATCGTGCATCCAAAGAATACCAAATTCCACGAAGAACACTTCGCAATCATATTCGTACAGGTGTGCGAGAAAGAAAACTTGGTACTCGTACAATCATGTCTAGAGAGCAGGAAGATGAACTATGCTCAAGGATGATCCGATTATCGGATACAGGAATGCCCCTTACACCAAAGATTTTGCGAAAATCCGTCTTTTCCTAATGACAAAAAAATTCGTCACACATTTAATGAAAATAGTGTAATGGCAGGTACAAAATGGTTGAAGTTGCTTTTGGACAGACATGAAAATATTCGCCAAAGGAAAGCACAGGTTTTAAATCCAGCTAGGGCACAGAAAGTAAATAAGTACATTGTAAACGACTACTTCAAAAAACTAGAAAGTTTGCTGATTAGACTAAACCTAATCAATCAGCCCCATCGTAACTACAATGTAGATGAGAAGGGGTGCAGACTCACCATCCACCGCCAACCAAATGTGTTGGCGAGGAAAGGTGAAAGACGTGTTCACTATGTAGCTAATGAGCACGCAGAAAATTCCAAAATAGTTGCATGTGGAAATGCTATTGGACAGGCAATACCACCAATGGTCCTGTTCAAGGGAAAACGTAAAAAGGATGAATGGGGTGACAATATACCAACCGGAACAGTAATTGAAATGACCCAAAAAGGAAGTATGACGGCAGCAGTGTTTGTTAAATGGCTAGACCATCTAGCAAACTACGAGTATAAGCCACCAGGAGATATTCTTCTCATTTTTGATGGTGCCTCTTCTCATTTGGATGCAACTATTGTTGACGCCGCCGAAAAACATCACATCACTTTATTGTGTCTTCCGAGTAACACGACACACCTGCTGCAACCGCTGGATAAATGTGTTTTCCGCAATTACGAATATCATTGGGAAAATGAAATACTTAACCATTACAAGCGGTATCCTGGCAGGAAGTTGAATCGTGCAAGGAGAAATTTTGAGGAAAGTGTATCCAAGGGCCATGTCTTCTGAAAATCTTCAGTCAGGATTTCGCGCAACAGGAATATACCCACACGATCCAGCTGCGATCCCGGAGACTGCATTTACACCTAGTTTAATGTCAGAGAGGCCCGATTCAAATACGGCAGCTACAGATGTTCAGGAGGAGAATGAGGAAAACCACGATGTCAGCTTTACAGAATCTGATGACATACCCCTTGCACTACTGATGGCCAACGGAACTTCAATGTTACAGATAACAGCTACTTCTAATGAAAAAGAAATAAACTCGACTCAAAAGATTGCAGTTCTTGAAACAACAAATCTTGTGACTGGTCAAATAGACAGTGATCAATTGGATCTAAGTTTCAGGGAAGTACTTCCCACACCCGAATGGAAGGCCAACGCCACAGAAAGACGAAAAGCCATCAATTCTACTGCGCAAATCGTCGTAAGAGATTTGTTTAAAGACCCAAATCCAGGTCCATCAAAGCAAAAGGTTCCGAAAGAATAAAGACGAAAACTGGTACTGTTTCATATGCGATAAGGATGAAGTACGTGATATGCGTCTGTGTGTAGTATGCTTAAGATATGTCCATGAGGAATGTGTAGGCTTGTGTAGAGGTGATAAAGTATCATTTGTTTGTCATCATTGCGAAGGCAAAATCTAAGATTCTGTATGATTTTCTTTAAACAAGTTGACTTGTTTTATTTAAATCTGTCTAGATTTAAGTGTTTTTTCAATTTTGTTTAATTAGAAATATAGCTTCGTTTATTATACAGTCTTGATTTACATTTTGATTGTGGTTTTATTGAAAACCAGATGGTGGCCTTATTTGGATACATGGGTTCCTAATAAGGCCAACGGTAGTGTTTCGAAAAATATATTTTTTTTATATGAAAAGAAAAGGTCTCTGAGTTATCCGATGTAGCTTGTGTAATAAACATATATACAATAATACCTTTAAAATTTCAAGGTCGTTTCGCAAATATTTACGCAGTTACAGCTATCCAAACGTTAATGTGGCCTTATTTGGTACAGGTAACTTATTAAAAATATTTTAACATTGTTTCAGGTGTCTGGCAACTGGTGGCACTTTTTCATCTTTGGGTTTATATTTCGCTCTATTCAAATTATGAGGGTTGAATTAAAAGGTATTTATATGAGCGTACCCAGAATTGAGAAATGGAAGCAAATCGCCAATCGATATCTCGAATTATGGCTACTACCTCATTGTCTTGGTGCTATCGACGGCAAGCATATACGATGGTGGTCCCAGAAGTACCCGGCCTGACCTAGAGATGGCGATAGTTGTTTGAAAAATATCATTGTATTAGGAAGCATGCAACCTATATAGCATATGTGTCAAGTTTGAAGACGCCACGTTGTTTAGTATTTGTTTGACAGCCATCAATACTGAACGTTTTCAGTGAATTTGTGAAAATGGAGAAAATTGGTCATCGTTACGTGATACAATACTTTGATTTCAAAGGCCTCAGCCCAACCAATATAAAAGCTGAACTGGATTATACTCTGGGTGAGTCTGCTCCTCCGTTTACAACAGTAAAATATTGGGTAGCAGAGTTTAAACGAGGCCGTGTGAGCTGTCAAGACGAGCATCGCAGTGGTCGACCAAATGAGGTGACGACTCCAGAAATGGTGAAGAAAATTCACAAAGCAGTAACTGAATGATCGTCGACTGAAAGTGCGCGAGCTAGCAGACAAAAAGTGCGGTTCATCGCATATTATCTGAAAATTTGGACATGAGAAAGCTGTGTGCAAGATGGGTGCCACGATTGCTCACAATCGAGCAAAAACAGTGTCGTGAAGATGTTTCAATTGAGTGTTTAGCGAAGTTTCACAGCAACAAAGCAGAATTTTTGCGTCGTTTCATAACCATGGATGAAACATGGGTCCATCACTTCACACCCGAGACAAAAGAACAATCAAAACAATGGACTCAAAGGGGACAACCGGCTCCAAAGAAGGCGAAGACCGTTTCAACTGCAGGCAAGGTTATGGCGTCGGTTTTTTGGGATGCGCGTGGGATAATTTTCATTGACTATCTTGAAAAAGGTAAAACTTCTACGGCGAGTATTATGCGAACTGATTGCAACGTTTGAGCGATGAAATCAAGCAAAAACGGACGCATTTGGTTATGAATAAAGTGTTGTTTCATGAAGACAATGCACCAGCTCACAAATCCGCAATGGCCAAAATTAACGAATTAAAGTTTGAATTGCTACCTCATGCACCCTATTCACCAGATTTAGCCCCATCGGATTATTTTCTGTTTCCAAACTTGAAAAACTGGCTCAGTGGTCAAAGATTTTCCAACGATGAAGAAGTGATGTCGGCACTTAATGACTATTTTGAGATAGTTCTTATTATAAAAAGGGTATCGAACTTATTGAACATCGCTGGAAAAAGTGTATAGAGCTCAAAGGAGATTATGTTGAAAAATACACATTTTTTACAAAAATTTTGTGTTTTCTTCGTTGGGTCGGGTACTTCTGGGACCACCCTCGTACGTATTCAGCAATACCCAAATTCTGGATCCTCAAATTATAATTACAAAGGATATCATTCAATTGTCTTGATGGTGTGTGCAAATGCAGATGGCCAACTTCACATTCATAGAAACTGAATACGCTGGTCGTAATAGTCCTGGTGGAGTATTTCAGGCAGGACGCATGTGGCAGTGGATGCAAAATATGTAATAATACTGTTCCTCACGATAATAATGGTTCTACTTTTCCTTATTACTTTATAGCGGATAATTCATTTCCGTTGAAAAGAAATATATCAAGACCATATCCACTACGTAATACATGTAACACAACACGAATATTCAACTACAGACTCAGTCGTGAAAGGAAAAACGTAGAGTGTGCTTTTGTAATGATGACCCAGAAATTTCAACTATTGATAACGACAATTAGATGCAAAAGTTATGAAACTATAAACAATATAAAATGTATCTGCGTATATTTTATCTGAAGTCACTTGAAACATTGTGAAATACCGGGTGCGTTTTATATATCTATATTTAACACGCTCTGTTGCTGCAAAAATCGCCAAATCTCGCAGCAAATATAAGATATATATATATCTATATATATATATATATATATATATATATATATATATATATATATATATATATATATATATATATATATATATAATATAAGATCAAAGGCAGTTTCACCGGTCCACGTGGAGTAAAGCACGCCTATGCGTGGACATAGCCAATGAGAAAGCGTGTATTTCAGAGCTCCGAACAAGTGCAAGTGGCTACTGAAAATTGAAACAGTTTAGCCAGTGCCGTGTAGCGGTGAATAAACG